ATAATTTGATACTGCCACTTAAGGTGTTCCCTTCCCCTTCAGTCTGAACTTTAAACTAGATTCTTTTATTTCAGCGGATTTTAAACGTATTCTGCAGAGATATCTTAGTGAGCCAGGACTGGAGTGAGGGGTGAAGGGAAGGCTGGGGAAGGGTAGGGGGGAGACTGAAAAGATGAATTCGGCCGGGCGCGGTGGCTCTCGCCTATAATCCCAGCACTTTGGGAGGCCGAAGCGGGTGGATCACGAGGTCAAGAGATCGAGACCATCCTGGTCAACATGGTGAAACCCTGTCTCTACTAAAAATACAAAAATTAGCTGGGCATGATGGCGTGTGCCTGTAATCCCAGCTACTCGGGAGGCTGAGGCAGGAGAATTGCTTGAACCCAGAAGGTGGAGGTTGCGGTGAGCCGAGATCGTGCCATTGCACTCCAGTCTGGGTAATAACAGCAAAACTCCGTCTCAAAAAAAAAATATGAATTCCAGATCTCCCATTCTCACTAAATCAGAATGTTTCTCCATTGTAACTTTTGTACACTTGGCTTTCATTTAAGACTTTTGAGGAAAGCATGCTGGTTAAAAAACAAGATCTGACCACCGTTGCTGTGTATCTCATGGACAAGTTTTGAGGAAGGAGGTTGCAGTGGTCTCCAGGCTATAGTTCATGTGAAGGCAGGAAGGGCTTGCTTTGACCTGTAAATTTGTATGCCAGTTGGGGCTAATTTCCAGACTTGGCTAGTGCCTTCCCCTGCCTCGCCCTTCTGTGTTGGGCTGATAGTACTTTAAAATAAAACTGATTTTTTTTTTTTGAGGTAATAAAGTTCACTAAAGTCACACCATAAAACTAGGACAACAGGAAGGATTACTAAGAAGAGGGAAAAAATGGACAAGTCATTTAACTTGTGACTTTGAGTGACATTGAGTGTAATTGTTGAACTCAGGACTCACCGTAGCTGAAAATTAAACAATATGCATTAAGAAATTATATCTCATGGATTTCTAATCATTTAAGCTACTGTTAGAAAAAAATTAGATGATCCTGGGTTAAGATCTTTCCTTTGCCTCCCTATTCCGTTATAGCTTTATTTGGGATGTCTGAGTTGGGAGAAGAGCACAGAGACAGATCACTTAAAGCATGTTTTAGGACTGCAGATCAGAATTAGTTGGAAAACTTTTACAGAATAATGAATGGACATTCACATAGTAAAACACTCTATAGCAATAGAGAGAACCATAAATTCGTGAGAATAATTGCCAAGATGTATTAATAAAAGCAACATGCAAAACAGTGTTTTCTAGTATGCCACCATTTACATAGCGGAAAAAGCGTGAGTATGTGTAGGATATTTCTAAAGGACACTCTAGAAATAGGTTGCTGTGGTTGCCTTTTGGGAGGGTAACTGGGTAGCAGCTGGAGGAGAAGGGTGAGGAGATTTTTCACTTTGTATTCTGTGGTACTTTTAAAAACTCTTAAGTCCTGCATATAATATTTATTTCCAAAAAGATCAACCCTTCCCACAATGCCACATGTTGACTTTTCCCCTTCCACCTGGCAGGTGTATAGATGAGAAGAAAGCTCCTCAGGTGGTTTTAATGTGTGGTCTCATTGAACGTCTCAACTCCTCCAAGTAGGTCACTGCTTGCTGAGAAAGCTGCAAAGCATTGCAGATAGCGTTAGTTTTTCCCATTTTTGCCACAGACAACTTTGTGATATTGGAGGAATTATTGAATTTCTCGGTTTTTCAGATTTTTCATCTGTCAAATCAGTGTTAGTTGGGTAATCTCAGAATCTTCCAGTCCTTAAGATTTACTGACTTCCATGCCTTGGGTGTTGGAAGGGAGGTGGGAGGGGGGGAACAGACTGAAGGACTGCTGGTCATTCTTCTGATTCTTCTCCTGGCCAGCTTTCACAACAGCAGGAAAAGTGAGATCGCAGGAAGGATGGTATACTATATATTATATGGTACCACATACAGTTTTTTTTTTTTTTTTTTTTTTTGAGATGGAGTCTTGCTCTATCACCCAGGCTGGAGTACAGTGGCACAATCTCGGCTTACTGCAACCTCCGCCTCCCCAGTTCCAGTGATTCTCCTGTCTTAGCCTCTTAAGTAGCTGAGATTACAGGCGCGTGCCACAACGCCCGGCTAATTTTTATATTTTTGGTAGAGACGGGGTTTCACCACGTTAGTCAGGCTGGTCTCGAACTTCTGACCTTGTGGTCCGCCCACCTTGGCCTTCTAAAGTGCTGGGATTACAGGTGTGAGCCACCACACTCAGCTACCACATACACTTTTTAAAGTTCTTTCTATAAGTTTTTTCTTTTGTTTTTTTGAGTCAGAGTTTCACTGTATTACCCAGGCTGGAGTGCAGTGGTACAGTCACAGCTCATTGTAGTCTTGACCTCCTGGGCTCAAGTGATCCTCCTGTTTCAGCCTCCCAGGTAGCTGGGACCATGGGTGTGTACTGCCGTGCCTGACTAATTATTATTATTATTTTCTTGTAGAGACAGGTCTGGCTTCATTGCCCAGATTGGTCTTGAACACCTGGCCTTAGGAGATCCTCTGATCTTGAGCTCCCAAAGTGTTGGCATTACAGGTGTGAGCCACTGTGGCTGTGGCTGGCCTATAAGTTTTGTTTTAAAGTTAGATTGAATGACAATTCCCTAGAAAATTTTATTTTCGAAACCTAACTGAATAAAGATTTGCATATTTTGTATTGCATATGTTGGTAAAAACTGGAAAATTGATCAAGTTGTCACATTGAATTATTTTTTGAGTTTGCCCTCTTCCAAAATCCCTTGAAATGATGAAAATAATATTAAAACTTTACTAAGAAACAAAATATTAAATGGGTGGAGATTTTATATATATATGTTATATGTATGTTATATATATAGTTATATAATTTTCATCTTAATTATATATAAATAATTTCTATCTTTTTTTAAAACCACCCAATTAGGTAAAAATAGGATTCCTGTTTTAAAGTAAGAGTGTGTGTATATACATGCACGTGTATATATGTTAAATTTTTGTCATGGGAGTTTTACATATTTTATGTATAATTAAGATAGAAATTATATATTATGGCACATTTTTTATACATATGTAATATTCTCCAGCCGGGCACGGTGGCTCATTCCTGTAATCCCAGCACTTTGGGAGGCTGAGGCGGGTGGATCACGAGGTCAAGAGATCGAGACCATCCTGGTCAACATGGTGAAACCCTGTCTCTACTAAAAATACAAAAAATTAGCTGGGCGTGGTGGTGCGTGCCTGTAGTCCCAGCTACTCGGGAGGCTGAGGCAGGAGAATTGCCTGAACCCAGGAGGCGGAGGTTGCGGTGAGCCAAGGTCGCGCCATTGCACTCCAGCCTGGGTAACAAGAGCGAAACTCCGTCTCAAAAAAAATTATATATATATTCTCTATTATATATGTGTAAAATATTCCCATGTTAATTATATATAACAAATATTTGTGCTATTCTGAAACATAAACATAGATAATGATGTTTGAGAACGGGAATACTCAGGAGTATAAAGGTACCTGTTCTCCCATTAGTCTGTGAATTCAGTGTTTATGTGTTCTCATCTAGAATTTCTATGGAACCTGACAAGCTGACTCTGATACTTGTGTGAAAGAGGAAGTGTGCTAAAATAGCTGGGAAGGCGGTGAAAGAGCAACAACAAAGCATAGTGAGGGGAAATTTGCCCTGCTGAATATAAAAACCTCTGAATATTAGAGTAACTTGAAAAGTGTGGCATTGGCACAAGAAAAGACAGGCAAATCAAATTAGGGAGTCTAGAATTGTGGATAAGTAGGAATATACTTTATAATGGAGTTTATTTTTCTTTTCTTTTTTTTCTGAGATGGAGTCCCGTTCTTTTGCCCAGGCTGGCGTGCAGTGGCGTGATCTCAGCTCACTGCCATCTCTGCCTCCCAGGTTCAAGTGATTCTCCTGCCTCAGCCTCCTGAGTAGTTTGGATTATAGGCACATGCCACCACACCTGGCTAATTTTTATATTTTTAGTAGAGAAGAGGTTTCACTGTGTTGACCAGGCTGGTCTCGAACTCCTGACCTTAAGTGATCTGCCCACCTCGGCTCCCAAAGTGCTGGGATTACAAGTGTTAACCATCACTCCTGGCCTTTTTTTTTTTTTCTTTATTTGCTATTTTAGGCCCATAGAACCATGCAAGGAGTAATACAACAAATGTCCATCTACCTACGATCTGTGATGTACAAAATAATATTTTATCATACTTGCTTCAGAATTATTTAATAAAGACAATACTTCCTCTACACAAGTGCTTACCGTATAATTACTCTTGAATTATTTTTCACAATTAACTTATGAACTCTCAAATTTAGAACCATGTATTTTCTTTTTTTTTTTTTTTTGAGACTGAGTTTTGCTGTTGTTACCCAGACTGGAGTGCAGTGGCACGATCTCGGCTCACCACAACCTCCGTCTCCTGGGTTCAAGCAATTCTCCTGCCTCAGCCTCCCGAGTAGCTGGGACTACAGGCATGCGCCACCATGCCCAGCTAATTTTTGTATTTTTAGTAGAGACAGGGTTTCACCATGTTGACCAGGATGGTCTCGATCTCTTGACCTTGTGATCCACCCGTCTCGGCCTCCCAAAGTGCTGGGATTATAAGCCTGAGCCACCGCGCCCGGCCAGAACCATGTATTTTTATCTTTATATTTCTCAGACATTTATAGAAAGATACTAAGCAGATAATGTGCCAGATCTTATGCTAAGTTTTTATATACTGTTTTTACTTTATATAGCTAATTATATTATTTGTCACATAATAACCTATTTTAAGTGTAAAAAGACCCATTAATGTTTTCAAACCTTGGGAACTTTAATTAAGTAAAAACATAAGAGGAAGCTTTTACTGGTAATTATAGTTTTATTTATGTAGCTATAGTTATCATTTATTAGAAGTACACTTGGTGTTTTAGTTCTTATTAATTCTGTTTTTTCCCATCATGTTTAGGTGGTTTCCTAGAAACATGATTGTTTATTGGCGTTGATCTCACAGTCTGGTGAGGACTTCTTTACTGATAATGTCAAGTTCAGGTTATCCTCCCAACCAAGGAGCATTCAGCACAGAACAAAGTCGTTATCCTCCCCACTCTGTCCAGTATACCTTTCCCAGCACCCGCCACCAGCAGGTAAGGAACAAATGCTATGCAAATTGCACATGTTTTTTGTGTTTTTCTTTACTTTTCCTATTTAATAAACATGTTGGTCAGAAACTACCATGTGTACCTTTTTTTTTTTTTTTTTTTTTTTTTTTAAGTGGCAAGAACTGTATACAAAGATGAGGAACCAAAGGTTGGGAATTAACTGTATACAAAGATGAGGAACCAAAGGTTGGGAATTAATTATTCCTGTTTTCTTACTGTGGCTTTATGAACTTGTCTTTGCTTTTGATTGTAGGAGTTGATGATAAATAGAAAACTATCAATTGTCTAGAATTTCATGAGTAAGACCTATATTTATACTCCAAGTTGTGGTTGAGTTTTAAGCTGGCCTCTCTTGAGTGATGGCCAGCATAAAGACCTCTCTCTTCTTGAGAGATTGATGGTAGGAAGCTTTGCATAGTAGGTAGGAAGGAAAGAGGGCATGGTAGATAGGCAGGAAGGAAGATTTTATCATAGGAAGAGTTTGTAAGAGATTGATTTACCTTGTGAAAAATAAAATATGAGGTGAAATAATAAGCTCATAGTAGACCAAGGATATGGTTGTAAGAGGTTTAAAGAAAAATAGGAAAGGATGTGATGAAATGGTCATCTCAGAGACTAATAAAGCAGATTTGTTATCAAAATGTAGTCAAGTATTTACTATGGGGTCCTACTGAGGACTCCTTTGAAGTATAGTCATGAATACAGAGTTAGAGTGGACATCGTTACATTGTTCCTGTGTAGGGAAGCATTTAGTCTTTCATCATTACATGTAATGTTAGTTGCATGTTTTTGTTGATGCCTTTTTTGGTTGAAGAGGTTGCCTTCTGTTCCTAGTTTGAGAATTTCTGTCATGATTGGGTGTTGAATTTTGCTTGTGTTGTTCCCCCTACCCCAGTGTTATTTATCTGATTACCAGTTTTCTGGATTATTGTTGCTACTGCTTTTTAGAAAATACCGGGCTGAGTGTGGTGGCCCAAGCCTATAATCCCAGCACTTTGGGAGGCCAAGGCACATGGATCGCTTGAGGTCAGGAGTTCAAGACCAGTCTGGCCAACATGGTGAAACCCTGTCTCTACTACAAGTACAAAAAAAATTAGCCAGGCATTGTAGCCGCCATGATTAATCCCAGCTACTTGGGAGGCTGTGGCAGGAGAATCACTTGAACCCAGAAGTCAGAAGTTGAAGTGAGCCGAGATCCTGCCATTGCACTCCAGCCTGGGCCAAGAGTGAAACTCTGTTTGAAAAAAAAAAAAAAAAAATCAGCTTTGCAGTTTAGTTTATATACATATATGTGTATATATATATATTAGATTGCACTCATTATATGTGTACATTGTAGCAAACTTTGACAAATTCATAAACCCACAGAACCATCACCAAAATGAAGATTAACAACATTTCTAACATTCCAGAATATTCCTTGGCACCCTATCCCCTTTGGTACCCCATCCGTGTCAGTCCTCCTCCCCCACTTTCTACTAACCTCAGCTCCTAGGAAACCACTGATATGCTTTCTGTTGTAATACCTTGTATATGTTCTGAGCTTCATGGGAACTCTTTTGTCTGTGGCTTCTTTTGCTTCCCATAATACTTCTGTGATCTATCCATGTCTGGCACATCTCAGTTCCTTCCTTTTTATTGTTGGTTATGGGTATACCACAATTTGTTTATCCAATTTGTTTATTACAGGTTTTGATTATTTTAAGAAAAATTACTTAGAAAACATATATCTATATATTTGTTGTATTTAGATTATTAAAATTAAGTATTCCTTGTTTTCTTAACAGTATCCTTTGGAGCACATACATTTTTTTTATTTTTCTCAAATCCAATTTTCTTTTTTTTTTTTTTTTTTGAGACAGAGTCTTGTTCTGTTGCCCAGACTGGAGTGCAATGGCACCATCTGGGCTCACTGCAACCTCTGCCTCCCAAGTTCAAGCAATTCTCCTGCTTCATTCAGCCTCCTGAGTAGCTGGGATTATAGGCGCCTGCCACCATGCCCAGCTAATTTTTGTATCTTTAGTAGAGATGCACTTTGCCCTGTTGGCTAGGCTGATGTTGAACTCCTGACCTCAGGTGATCCGCCCACCTTGGCCTTCTAAGTGCTGGGATTACAGGCGTCAGCCACTGCACCTGGCCCCAATGTATTACTTTTATTGTTCATATTTTGTGCTTTTTGCGTCATATCTAAGAAGTTTTTGCCAAATTTAAGGTCACCAAGATTTTCACTTATGTTTTCTTCTCTAAGTTTTATAATTTTAGGTTTTTCATTTAGGTAAATTATCTGTTTTGAATTAAAATTTTATATATGGTATGGTAAGTGTTGAGTTTCAGTCCTTCCGCGTTAAGACTGATGTTAACTTGGAGAATGCTCTTGACTCCTGTGTTCTCTTAAGGGATTTGTGTAGGATTGGTACTTTTTCTTTTTCTTTTTTTGAGATGGAGTCTTGCTCTGTCACCCAGGCTAGAGTGCAATGGCATGATCTTGGCTCATAGCAACCTCCTCCTCCTGAGTAGCTGGGATTACAGGTGTGTGCCACTACTCTCAGCTAATTTTTGTATTTTTAGTAGAGATGGGATTTCACCATATTGGCCAGGCTAGTCTTGAACTCCTGACCTCGATGATCCACCCGCCTTAGCTTCCCAAAGTGCTGGAATTACATGTGTGAGCCACCATACCCAGCCTTTTCTTTGTTTATTTTTTTGAGACAGCAGAGTATCGCTCTGTCGCCCAGGCTGGAGTGCAGTGGTGCCATCTTAGCTCATCACAACTTCTGCCTCCTGGGTTCAAGAGATTCTCCTGCCTCAGTCTCCCAAGTAGCTGGGATTATAGGCATGCACCACCATGCCTGGCTAATTTTGTATTTTTAGTAGAGACAGGGTTTTTCTGTGTTGGTCAGGCAGGTCTCAAACTTCTGACCTCAGATGATCCGCCTGCCTCGGCCTCCCAAAGTGCTGGGATTACAGGCATGAGCCTCTGCTCCTGGCTCCCACTATTGTTTTGTATTTTTGGTAGAGACGAGGTTTCACTATGTTAGCCAGGCTGGTCTTGAACTCCTGGCCTTAAGTGATCCTCCTGCCTCGGCTTCCCAAAGTGCAGGGTTTTCATGTGTGAGCCACCACACCTGGTCTCCTCTGGTTACTTTTTAAGATTTTTCTCTTTATCATTGGTTTTTAGCAATTTGGGTGTAATGTATGCTTGTTGTGCCTTTTTTTTTTTTAAATAAAGATCATTCCTTTCTGTGTTGCCTAGGCTGGGGTGCAGTGGTTTTCACTACTGATCAGCGCATGTGACCTCTTTTTTTTTTTTTTTTTTTTTTTTTTTAAACTAGGGCATTTTCATCCTTCCTTAGGCAACCTGCTAGCCCCCCTGCTTCTGGGAGGTCATCATATAAATGCGAACTTAGTGTAGATATCTGATTGGCATAGCCCAGAGCTATAGCCCAGAACTGCTGGGCTCAAGGGATCCTCTTGCTTCAGCCTCCCAAGTAGCTGGGAATACAGGTGTGAGTCACAATGCCTTGCTGTTGTGCTTTTTGAGTGAATACTGTGGATTTATAGCTTCCTGATTCTATGGATTTATAAGTTTCATAAAATTTGAGCAGTTTGGGGCCATTGTTTTTTCAAATATTTTTTTCCTGTCTCCTTTCCCCCTAGTTTCTGTCTGGGACTCCAGTTACTCATTTTGCATGTTATTCCACAGTTCACTGGATCTCTGTTCACTTTTTTCCGTTTTTTTTTTTTTTTTTTTTTTTTAAATCCATTAGTTTCATTTTGCTGTGATACCGTAATCAGTGATCTTCTGTACGTTTCAGCCTGTTAACACATTTTTATTGCAGATGGATTTCATTTTTGATTAGGATATGAATGTTGTGTGTTTTACACTTTTTTACTGCTGGCCTTTGTTACATTCCTGTAAAGAGAGATGAAGTCCTTCTGGTAGGAAATTAAGTTACTTTTGAGGCTTGTTTTTAAACTCTTAAGGCATGTCTAGCATAGTCTTTATTGTAGATCTAATTTATCACTCACTTCTAAGCTTGTCTCCTGCGGTTGCTTTTGAATATCCCATGTATTCAGTGGGGTTTCCTCACTCTTGCTGGAGGAAATTTGAATGAGTTCTTACCCTGAGTGAGCTCAGGGAATTGTTTGCTTTATAGTTGCTTCTAATTGTTCTTTCATCAGCAATTATTCTTACCCCAGCCTGTGACATTTCTCCTTATGTATTTACAGACTAGAATTCACAGAGGCTTAAGGGATCCCAAATTCAGATTTCAGGAAATCTTTCTCTTTGAAACTAACTTTGGAAGTTCAGTCCCTATGGCTTATCCAAGCCTTGTACGGTTGCTTCTTCAATGATTATGATTGTGGGACACGATTTAGGTTCCCTTCCCATGGCTGCAGTTTGGAAATTGCCTCTAGACAGAGGGCCTAGAGTATGGTAGGTAGGGCTCACCTCATTTGCTTCATTTCTCTCAATGATCAAGTCCTGTGCTGCCTATTATCCAGTTTCTGAAAATAGTGTCACATTTTGTTGAATTTTTAAGCTGTTAACTGTGAGAAGGTAATTCTGAGCAGTGTTGCCTGCTCATACCTGGAAGCCGCAGTGCACTGTTGTTACTTTTATTTCACTCCTTACTCTTAATTTTTGCTGGATACACCCTTTAGAAATTCTTTCAGAGAGTGTCTGTGGTTGATTCATTATTTGAGTTCTTGAATACTCACAAGTTAGTAGCCTTAAAACTTGAGTGATGGTTTATTTTTAATTTAATTTTATTTTTAGAGACAAAGTTTCACTGTTATCACCCAGGCTGAAATGCAGTGACACAATCATAGCTCACTGTAACTTTGAGCTCCTGGGCTCAAGTGATCCTCTCAACTCAGCCTCCTGAGTAGCTGGGATTATAGGTTTGTACCACCATGCCCAGCTAATTTTTAAATATTTTATAGAGATGGTGTCTCACTGTGTTGCACAGGCTGTTGTCAAACTCCTGGCCTCAAAGCTGTCATCCTCCTTTGCCTTCCCAAAGTGCTGGGATTACAGGAATGAACTAGCATTGCCCAGCCAAATGATGTAGTTATTGAATTTGTAGCTTCAAAGCTATTTTCCTCTGAACTTGGAATATGCTGTGATTTGCTGTTTGCTTCTATTGAGTGTTGCTGATGAGAAGTCTGCTTTTATTTTGATCCTTGTAACTTTGTAGGAAACCTCTGTTTTATTTCATGGGACTTGTAATAAAGTTTTCATTTTATTCTTATTATCTAAAATTTTCATGTGTTCAGTATGGATTAATTTTAAAAATACATCCAGTTTTTTCCTTAAACCTTTTTAAATCTGAAGACTGTCTTTTCTAACTTGTGAGAAATGCTGTTTTATTATTTCTCAGGATCCTGTCTCTTACCTGTGGATATGGGATGTTGGAACTTTTTATTCTAGCTCCCATTTTTAACTTTTCTTCTGTGGTTTCTATGTTTTTGTACCTTACTGGGTACCGAGAAAATTCCTCAGTTCTCTCTTAGCTTTCATTTGCTTTTCGTGTCTGTGTGTTCAACCATCATTTACTTTCAGTGATTTAGTTTCTAATTTCTTTATTTGATTCTTTCTTTCTTTCTTTTTTTTAAAGAGAGTCTTATTCTGTGGCCCAGGCTGGAGTGCAGTGGCACAATCTTGACTCATTGCAACCTCCACCTCCTGGGTTCAAGGAATTCTTGTACCTCAGCCTCTTGAGTAGCTGGGACCACAGGCATGTGCCACCACGCCCGGCTAATTTTTGTAATTTTAGTAGAGACAGGGTTTCTCCATGTTGGCCAGGCTGGTGTCAAACTCCTGGCCTCAAGCAGTTCGTCCCATTTTGGCCTCCCAACGGCCTAAGATTACAGGCATGAGCCACCAGGCCTGGCTTGCTATTTGATACTGCTGCTGCTGCTACTTTTTCTTCTTCTTCTCCTTTTTTTGGTAACAAACCCTTGTATCAAGGGCTGACTTTTATTTTATTTTTTTTAAGACAGAGTCTTGCTCTGTTACCCAGGCTGGAGTGCAATGGCTTGGTCTTGGCTCATTGCAACCTCTAACTCCCAGGTTCAAGCAAGTCTTCTGCCTCAGCCTCTGGAGTGGCTGGCATTACAGGTGCCTGCTACCACGCCTGGCTGGATTTTTTATTTTTAGTAGAGATGAGGTTTCACCATGTTGGCCAGATTGGTCTTGAACTTATGACCTAAAGTGATCCACCTGCCTCAGCTTCCCAAAGTTCTGTGATTACAACCATGAGCCATAGCACCTGACCGATTTGATATTGTTAATATTTTTTAGGTCCTTTTTTAACTCCTTGCTACTGTTTTACCTGTTTTCATGGAATATAAATTCCTTTTTTATTTTGGTGCCTTTGGGAAATTTTTTTTTTTCTTTTTCCCCGAGACGAATTCTTGCACTGTTGCTGGGACTAGAGTGCAATGGTGCAATTTTGGATCAATACAACCTCTGCCTCCTGGGTTCACACGATTCTCCTGCCTCAGCCTCCTATGTAGCTGGGATGACAGGAGCATGCCACTACGCCCGGCTAATTTTTTGTATTTTTAGTAGAGACCAGTGAGGCTGGTCGTGAATCCTGACCTCATGATCTGCCTGCCTTGGCCTCCCAAAGTGCTGGGATTACAGGTGTGAGCCACCATACCTGGCCGAAAAGTTTTTTAAATGGCTTTGTTTTTTATGTTTTCAACTTTATATCTGAGATTTCTCCTTAGACTATGAGTCATTTTTTACTCATAACTTACAATGAAGGGCTCTCAATGGCTTATCTACCCTCTGTTTCATCCTAGACAGCATAATTTTATCTGTTTATGATTTTTGAACCTTTTTTTTGACACAGAATTCATGTAATAGCAAATTTACCATTTTAAAGTATGTAATATAGCGGCTTTTAGTATATTCATTATGTTGTGCAGTTATCATTGTTACTTGATTTCAGGACATCTCTGTCACCTGCAATGAAACCCTATGTGTAACAGCAGTTTCAGTTCTCCTCATCCCCCATCTTTTGGCAGTCACCAATCTATTTTCTATGGATTTGTTGCTTTTTTTTTTTTTTTTAAGATGGTGTCCTGCTCTGTCACCCAGGCTGGAGTGCAGTGGTGCAATCGGAGCTCACTGCAGTCTCTAATTCTTGGGCTCAAGCAATCCTCTCACCTTAGCCTACCCAGTAGCTGGGATGTGCCGCAATGCCTGGCTAATTTTTAAACATATTTTTTGTAGAGATGAAATCTCAGTATGTTGCCCAGACTAGTCTTGAATCTCTGGGCTCAAGCAGTCTGCCCACCTTGTCCTCCCAAAGTGTTGGGATTACAGACGTGAGCCATAGCACCCAGCCTGGACATTTTATATAAATGGAATAATAATATGTGGCCTTTTGTGCCTGGCCTTTTTTTTTTTTTTTTATAGACTTACTATAATGTTTTCTAAGTTCATCTGTGTTCTAGCATGTGTCTCCTTTTTTTATGGCCGAATGATATTCAAATGTATACTACATTTTGTTTATTTGTTCATTAGTTGATGGACATTTTGGTTGTTTTCATTTTTTGGCTATTGTGAATAGTGCACCCGTGAAAAATTGTGTATTTTGTGTGTGGTTTTATATACTTGTAATTCTTTGGGGCATATACCTAGGACCAGAGTTCCTAGCTTATTTTTAGTAATTCTGTGTTTATCTGTTTATGATTGAGTTAGCACAATAGATTTGTTTTGAAAGGAAATTTTTGCCAAAAAACAAAAAAAATCAATAAAGGAAAGGTACAAAAACAAACATATAAACAATTACCTAGTTATGATGGAAAAAAACTACCTTTTTTTTTTTTTTTTTTTTTTTTTTTTTGAGATGTAGTCTCGCTCTGTAGCCCCAGCTGGAGTGCAGTGGTGAGATCTCAGCTCACTGCAACTTGCACCTCCTGGGTTAAAGTGATTCTCCTGCCTCAGCCTCGTGAGTAGCTTGGATTACAGGTGTCGTCCGCCATACCCAGCTTAAGTTTTTTATTTTTAGTAGAGACAGGGTTTCAACATGTTGACCAGGCTGGTCTTGAATTTCTGACCTCAAGTGATCCACCTGCCTCAGCCTCCCAAAGTGCTGGGATTACAGGTGTGAGCCAAAACTACTACTCTTAACTAGCAGGTTAATTCTCTGGACTCCAGTTTCTTCATTGTAAGTGTGAATGGATTTGATTAGACTTCTATGACCCTTCTTCCAGCTTACTCATTATGAATATAATATTGGAATGCTTTTTAGGTTTTCATATTGAACACGAGTTTGAGATTTTACTGATGTGAGTAATACAGATTGGGAGTTACCGTAATTTGTTATTAGAGGAATGAGTCAATATAAGTTAAACTTGAAATTTCATTTTGGATTGTTTTTAATGATACATAGTTAAAATGATTATTTTAAGGGGAAGAGTTAGATCAATGAAGGATTAAAATAGTCATTATTTTTTCTTTCCATACTTAGTGGCTCGTAACTATCTTTATACTTGCTTTGATTTCATGATGCTGTTCAGTTTTTAGTTAATAACTAATTTATGATTATTTTAATATTAGGAGTTTGCAGTCCCTGACTATCGTTCCTCTCATATTGAAGTCGGTCAGGCATCACAGCTCTTGCAGCAACAGCAGCAGCAGCAGCAGCTTCGAAGACGACCTTCCTTACTTTCAGAATTTCACCCAGGTTCTGACAGGTAATGAGGTTTCTTTTATGTTTCTATCTAGGATTATAATTGTGAAGTATACAAGTGTGTCATTATTTTATTTTTTTATTTATTAACCAAGCCTTGACTGGTTTTGTGTAGTTTGCATTTTGAGTTCTTTTGTGTTGGTTGGTTGCAACAGTTAACAAACTCTTAAAACTTATTTCCATAATTTGGCATTAATATTATGTAGTAGGAAGGCAGTAAACCACCTGGTCACCTATGTGGCCTTAGTTATGATCTATAGACTTGGGCTGCACATTAGAACCACCTGGGATGCCCAAGTCCCATCACAAAACACTTAAATCAGTCCTGGGGTTGGGCCCAGGCTTTATTTTATGGCTGAAGTTTTTCTGGTGATTCTGATTTGCAGCTAGGGTTGCAAATCACTGATCCCAACTCTTCAGGCTTTAGTTTTCCCTCCTGTAAAAATGGAGATAATAGTGACATTGTCCTCAACTGAGAGTAAATATTCTGTCAGATAGTGTAGGTTCTATACATGCATGGTAGGTTCTGTTTTTCCTCAGTGTTCTTACCATCTCTGCATTTTTTTTTTACTTCATCCTCATTCCTTTTGTTTTTTGTTTGTTTGTTTGGAGACATCATCTTTCTAGCTGTGTTGCCCAGGCTGGAGTGTAGTGATGTGATCATGGCTTACTGCAGCCTCAATCTCCTGGGCCCAAGTAATTCTACCATGTTAGCCTCCCAGTCCTGGCTAATTTTTGTATTTTTTGTAGAGGTGGGATTTTTCTATGCTGCCCAGGCTAGTCTTGAACTCCTGAGCTCAAGTGATCCGCCTACCCCTACCTCCCAAAATATTTAATTTTTTTTTTTTTGAGAAAGAGTCTTGCTCTGTCACCCAGGATGGAGTGCCAGTGGCATGATCTCGGCTCACTGCAACCTCCTTCTCTAGGGTTAAAGTGATTCTCATTCCTCAGCCTTCTAAGTAGCTGGGATTACAGGCATGCACCACCACGCCCAGCTAATTTTTGTATTTTTAGTAGAGATGAAGTTTTGCCATGTTGACAAGGTTGGTCTCTCGAATTCTTGGCCTCAAGTGATCTGCCTGCTTTGGACTCCCAAAGTGTTGGGATTACAGGTGTGAGCCACCTCACCTGGCCAGAATTTTTTTTAAATTGTGTATATTTAAGGCATACAACATGGTGTTATGGGATACGTATAGTTAGTAAAAAGGTCACTATGGTGAAGCAAATTAACGAAGTTATTTATTTTTGCCTTTTTTTTTTTGCTTTTGTGCAGAACCAACTAAAATCTACTCATTTAGCATGAATCCAGCTAATATATAATAATATCCAGCACGGTATTATTACCTGTAGTCCTCATGTTGTACATAAGAACTCTAGACTTGTTCATTCTATATATCTGCTACTTTACATCCTCTGACTTTCATCTCCTCATTTTCTTTCCACCCTCGGCCCCTGGTAAACCACTGTTTTATTCTCTTTACATGGTTCCTTTTTTGTTTTTTTGTTTTTTTTTTAAAGATGGGGTTTCACCATGATGGCCAGGCTGGTCTTGAACTCCTGACCTCAGGTGATCCACCTGCCTCGGCCTCTCAAAGTGCTAGGATTACAGGCATGAGTCACCGCTCCCGGCCCCTTTTTTTGTTTTTTTTTTAAAAGATTCCACATGTAAGTGAAATCATGCTGGAGTACAGTGTCATGATACCGGTTCACTGTAGTCTCCATCTCCATGGTTCAAGTGATTCCCCTGCCTCAGCCTCCCCAGTAGCTGGGACTACAGGTGTGTGCCATCACGCCTAGCTAATTTTTTGTATTTTAGTAGAGATGGGGTTTCACAACGTTGGCCAAGATGGTTTTGATCTCCTGACCTCATCATGCGCCTGCCTCGGCCTCCCAAAGTGCTGGGATTACAGGCAGCCTTTACAGCTGTGTTTTTTTTTTTTTTTTTTTTTGCCAGTAGGAGATTTTATATTGTCCTTTTTTCTCCTTGAACTTTTATTTTCTTTTCCAGTAAATTTTTTTACTAATGTATTTATTCTTTTTTTTTTTTTTTTTTTTTTTTTTTTTGAGACGGAGTTTCGCTCTTGTTACCCAGGCTGGAGTGCAATGGCACAATCTTGGCTCACCACAACCTCCGCCTCCTGGGTTCAAGCAATTCTCCTGCCTCAGCCTCCCAAGTAGCTGGAACTAGAGGTGCGCGCCACCATGCCCAGCGAATTTTTGTATTTTTAGTAGAGACGGTGTTTCACCTTGTTGACCGGGATGGTCTCGATTTCTTGACCTCGTGATCCACCCGCTTCGGCCTCCCAAAGTGCTGGGATTATAGGCGTGAGCCACCACACCCGGCGTATATTTATTCTTAATAGCATTTTTTTTTTTTTTTTGAGACGGTGTCTCACTCTGTCACCAGGCGCCAGGCTGGAGTGCAGTGGCACGATCTTGGCTCACTGCAACCTCCACCTCCCAGGTTCAAGCAATTCTCCTGCCTCAGCCTCCCAAGTAGCTGGGACTACAGGTGCACGCCACTACACCCAGCTAATTTTTGTATTTTTAGTGGAGACGGGGTTTCACCACGTTGGCCAGTCCTTGACCTCGTGATCCTCCTGCCTCGGCCTCCAAAGTGCTGGGATTACAGGTGTGAGCCACCGCACCCGTTCTCTTAATAGCATTTTATTGTTCACGCTCTCATATTTCTGCTACAAATACATATAGAAATTGAAATTTATTTAAATTTTCTGTGATTTTAGGCTCTGAGTATTTTAAAGTTTTACTTTAGATTAAGTTATGGCAATTAGTAGTAGTAAACCAGTGAACAAAAAAGTGTAAGTATATGTATACATTTTATTACATTATTATTAAAAGCAAAAAGTAAAATCTTACAGACAACACTTTTTAATATGAGCAGACTGGTTTCCTTTTTCCCAATTATTGTAATTTTTGATTACTAATTACTGGAAATAGGCAGGCTTCTATGTGAATTCTATTCCAACTTTTATTTTTTATAGACAAAGAATATTGTTCATGTAAGTAGGTAGAAATGGAATAAATTTTGTAGCTGCAATTTTGCTTAATTCTCTGAATGCCTTCCAATTTATAGACCACAGTGATCTGATGTCTAAAATTTTTTTTTTTTTTTGGTCTTTCAGCTAAAAACTTAACTAGTTTCTCCTTTGATACAAAAGCAAAGAATTAGAAACCACTTTTGCAAAAAAAAAAAAAAAAAATTCGTTACCCATACTTTTGCTATTCTCTTTTTTTAATATTGACGTCATTATTTCTTTTTTTTTTCTTTTTCTTTTTCTTTTTCGAGATGGAGTCTCCCTCTGTCGCCCGGACAGGAGTGCAGTGGCATGATCTCAGCTCCCTGCAACCTCTGCCTCCTGGGTTCAAACAATTCTCCTGCCTTAGCCTCCTGAGTAGCTGGGATTACAGGCGTGAGCCACCACGCTTGGCTAAATTTTGTATTTTTAGTAGAGATGGGGTTTCACCTTGTTGGCCAGGATGCTCTTGATCTCCTGACCTCATGATCCTCTCACCTCAACCTTCCAAAGTGCCGGGATTATAGGTGTCAGCCACCACACGTGGCTGGATATCATTATTTCGAATTGTTCTTTTGTAGCATTGGAGGTTTAGTTTCAGTCGTCTGCTGTTTCTCACATTTTTATTATCTAGGACATAGGTTGCCAGACTAAGGCTAGTATGTGCTGAGCATATCCTGCCTGTCCTGTTTTTGTAGAGTCTTCAAGTTAAGAATTATTTTTACATTGATATATTTTTGTTTTGTTTTGTTTTATTTTATTTTTGTTTTTTTTTTTTACATTTATGTATTAAAATAAATTTTATTGTATATATTTGAGGTTTACATGATGTTATGGGATACATACAGTTTAGCCAATGAACATATTTATCATCTTATGTACTTTGTTTCAGTGACTAGCAAAAATTTATCTTAGGGATTTAGCAAAAATCCCTAAGATATAATTGTGTTAACTTTAGTCCTCATGTTGTACATTAGATCTCTAGACTTGTTCATCCTACAAGTCTGCTATTTTGTATCCTTTGACCTCCATCTCCCCCTTTCTCCATCCCTCACTGGTGGTAACCACTGTTTCATTCTCTGTCCTGTGTATTTGAGTGCTTTTTTTTAAAAAAAATATTACATATATAGGGGAGCTCATGCAATATTTTTCTTTTTGTGTCTGGCTTATTTCAGCATGGTTTCAGCATGGTCCATCCATGTTATGGCATATGACAGGATTTTTTTATTTTTTAAGGCTGAAAAATATTACACACACACACATCACATTTTTTTTCTTTCTTTCTTTTTTTTAGACAGAGTCTCACTCTGTCACCCAAGCTGGAGTGCAATGTGCAGTGGTTCACTGCAAGCTCTACCTCCCAGGTTCAAGCAATTTCATGCCTCAGACTCCCAAGTAGCAGGGACTACAGGCATGTGCCACCACGCCCAGCTAATTTTTGTATGTTTAATAGAGATGGAGTTTTGCCGTGTTGGCCAGGCTGGTCTCAAACTCCGGACCTCAAGTGATCTACCCACCTAAGCCTCCGAAAGTGCTGGGATTACAGGTGTGAGCCACTGTGCCTGGTCCAACATTTTCTTTATTCATTCATCTGTCAATGGGCATTTAAGTCGTTTACCTGTATTAACTATTGTGAATGATGCTGCAAGTGTAGATATCTGGTTGTTGGATTTTTTTTGTTTTTGAGATGGCATCTCACTCTGTTGCCCAGGCTGGAGTGCAGTGGTGAGATCTTGGCTCACCGCAACCTCCGCCTCCTGGTTCAAGCAGTTCTCTGCTTCAGTCTCCTGAGTAGCTGGGATTACAGGCGCCCGCCACCATGCCTGGCTAATTTTTATATTTTTAGTAGAGACGGCGTTTCAGCATGTTGGTCAGGCTGGTCTTGAACTCTTGACCTTGTGATCCACCTGCCTCGGCCTCCCAATGTGCTGGGATTACAGGCATGATCCACCAGGCCCAGCCAGATTTT